TTTTCCTTATCTTCTAACCTGAATTACATGTATAATTTATCAGTGTACATGTGTAATATATCTTATACAGAATTTATGGAAAGTTTATTGTCTTCTAGGTTACACAGAAAATTTTGTTCAGGGTTTGAAGTCTGCTTTGTTTCTCTGTGTTTAAAGAACAGTGTGGAATAGCTTTTAGAATAGTCAAGAACTAAGAATTGAGTTTTTTTATTTTCTAGTCTCCTTGGAAGAATCAATAGGTGTTATAATTGACTAGTCAGTAACAGATAACACTGTTAATAGCCCCATCTATGTCTTAATTTAGTTAGTTATTCTAGTGTGCATATTAATGAGTGTATCTATAAATATGTGTCACCATTTAATAGGAGTATTTTAAATGATAAGAATTTTGGAAAAACTGTCAGCTGTGGAATCTTTGTCATTCTCATCTGCAATTGTAAAGGTATTGTGACGTTACTGAGGCATTTCCAGTTCTCCACTGCATGCTACTCAGAAACACCTACAGGTGCTTTGTTAGAAAATTAATCTCTATACATATATAAGGCTTTACAATTTGAACAGTTTTTTCCTTAACCAATTGTGAAAAATTTATGTATTACAGGTAGCAAAAGTTAAGCCATAATTATAAGTATAATAAATAATGGTTGAATAGGGAATACTTTGGGAACAAATTTTTATTTCCTTTTATTTTATTTAATAGTTATAAGGTGCTGGTGACTTCTTGTATATTTGGCTTACAGATTCTTATTACATGTTTTATTGCCAACATTATTTCACGGTTTTAGATATGACTCTTAAAATTTTTATTACTAGAAACAGGACAATACTTTTGGGATTTAAATTTATTTTTCTCAATATGTTTTTATCTGTTTTGTTGTGGGTGGGGCACAGGCTTGGAGGTTAGAGAACAGCTTGTGACCGTACTCTTCTTTCCCTGTGGTCCTGAGGACTGAACCCAGATCATCAGGCTTGTCAGCAGGTCCTTTGCCCTCTGAGCCCTCTTACCAGCCCTAAGATATTTTCTAATTCCTGTAGGCTTTCAAATTTAAGTGTTCTGTTTAAGGGAGTTAGGATGTTAAAAGTATAGCTAGTGAGTGAATTAGGAGCCTATACTTCATTCGTATTAGTGGACATCAGAGATTGGATCTTTCTTCTAAACTAATGCTTTTATTTACACATTGAGGTAAATAGACTTCATCCCATCTCAACTAGAAGGGAAAACAAACATTCAGATTATTAAGAGAATAGTGAGCCTGGTTCTAGAGACTCAGTTATGACATTAAAGCATCTTGATTTTTTTCATGTGTTGGATACATGATGCTGCAGTTACCAGGTAGTATCATGACCTTTGAACCATTACATCACTATGGATTCAGTGGGCATTTACCAACCAGCATCATGATCTGAACCATTGCATCACAATAGAGGGCAGTGGGAATTTACCATCCAACATCATGATCTGAACCTTTGCATCACTGTAGACTGTAGTGGGCATAGACTTTTTCTGTAACTGTATTTCTAGGCAAATTTCTCTTAAGATCTTGAGGATTTTTTTTTTTTGTGATCATCACATTTAGTTTGTAATTTGAGTTTTTATTCAAAGTTGGTGATTAGAAAAGATACTATAAAGCATATGTATTTCTCATATGTTTTTCTTAATTGAATAAATGCATTTGGGGGTTGTAATAGGTGATAGACATGCAGTTAAATTTAGATATATTCAGAGATGACAAAAACAGAACAAAACCAACTAAATGAATGACAACCAGAAACCAGGGAGATATTCTAAAGTATGTTAAGGAGAAAGTTCTTGCACCATCTGTCTGCCTGAGACAAGCAAATGGCCAGTTGTGTGGTGTTTTTGTCCTTTGATGTAACTGTAAACTTTTGTCTTATTGGTATGTAATGTCAAAGAATTACTAGAATAGTTTAAAAAGTAATAGTTGCAAAACGTCTTTGAAAATTCATATGAATTTTATACATGGAATACAACTCATTGGACTAGCCACATTTTAAGGTCTCAGTGTCTGTGTGGTTAGTAAAGGCCATCTTGGGTAGTGTGGCTCTAGACATTCCTGTCTGACCTTTCAGATTACAGCTTTTAAGTCACAGGAAGCCTCTGATCTCCAGGACTGTTTGCTGCCTTTCACCTTCACACTTAAGGAATCCTATTCCTTTCCTCTAAATGCCAAAGCATGTACCACAATGTAAACTATACTGCAGTGAGTGGAATTGTGTAGTGTTTGTCTTGTCCATTCGCTTGTGTTTGCAGTGAGCACCCAGAGCTGCACGTAGATTCTCCTTCACTAGGAATGGGAACCATCTGGGGGAGCTTGTGCAGAGGCACACACTTAATTTTAAAATCAGGCACAAAATTTTTGAATGATTTTCTGTGTTTTTAATTGTAAGCTGCTCACTTCTAAAGAATGATGATTTTTCCACATACTAAAAATAGCTTTTTAAAGAGAGCACTCATTATAGATTTATACTTATTTATTTATTTATTTATTTATTTATTTTTGGTTTTTCGAGGCAGGGTTTCTCTGTGGCTTTGGAGCCTGTCCTGGAACTAGCTCTGTAGACCAGGCTGGTCTCGAACTCACAGAGATCCGCCTGCCTCTGCCTCCAGAGTGCTGAGATTAAAGGCGTGTGCCACCATCGCCCGGCTTCATTATAGATTTAATAAAAACAATTAAACCATGTGATTTACAACATGATTCCTTAAAATTAAAAACTTACTTTTTGGGACTGGAGCGATGGCTCATTGGTGAAGAACTGTTGCTCTTGCAGAGGATGTAGGTTTGATTCCCAGCACCCACATTGTTGCTCACAGCTGTGCTTAACTCCGGTTCCAGGAAATCCATATGCTTTCTCTGGTCTCCATTGGCACCAGGCATGCATTTGGCACATATACATCCTCGCAGGCAAAACACCTATACACACACAATGATAAGTAAATCTAAAAAGAAAATACATTTTGACCCTATCTTAAACAATCAGAGGTTGGGCTGTTTAGTTTTGTCTCTGAGAGAAGCTAAATATCCCTAATGTAGGCAAGCTATACTTTTAAAGATTAAGATTTCATTGTGAAGTTGATATGTTAAGTGTAACTTGAAAGTATAGTAGACATTTATTAATAGAAGATGGCCAGCGAGGGGATTTGGGGCGAAGGGACCGCACACACAGACACAGGAATGCTTTGTCATGGTTCTCACATGAAATTAGAGACAAGTAATTCGGTTAGTGTCAGCAGAGTGTGTATAGGTCGCAGCTAGACTAGAAGCCTGCCAGTGCTATAACTACACAGCTGCCTTGGTGGGACCTCCTGATGCATCAGGACACGGCAGACAGCTTGGACATGTATCTGGGAATATTGTACAATATTTTTGGGGTGATCTTCCTTTGTAACAACTGATTAGTGTTATGAGTCCTAACCTACCCCTGTGACATGGCAATTAATCCCTTTGGATGGTTTCCTCGTGATCTAGTTACCTCCTACTCTAGCTTCCTTCTTAAAGACTTTTCTGCCTCTCAACATTGCCTCCTTTGGACCAGCTTACAACACATAGGTTCTTTGAAGGAAGCACTTACACTAAATCCAGAACATAGCAACCTCTAAGTCTCTGCAGGAGGACAAAATGATGGAAGGAGGTTCTAAAAAATGTAAGCAGTGAGTTGGTGTTTATAGTAAAAGAAATGATGGATCTGCCTGGCTCAGTGTGAAGGTGTGGAGAAGAGAGAGTACGGTGTGTACTGTTTCTAACTCCTACCCCCAGCTCTTTCAGCCCTCCCATGCTTTCAGGGCACAAGACTGGTGGACTCTTTAGATGTATATCCATCGATGTATCTATGATCTAATAAATTTTAATCATTTAGAATGGAAGAAGTTCACTGTCATCATCAAAAGACAGGATATGTTTTGTAAAGTAAAATTAGTTCTGATTGAAATCATTTGGTCATCCTCCAGTGTATGCCATTTTCCCACTGTAAATCATTGCATTTCTAAATATTGGCTCACTCTTATGGGATGATTTTATTACCTTCAGCTTCAAAGGTTAAGAATTTAGTTTCAAAATACTGGATGTGGTTGAGAATGGGTACCCACACATGTAGTTCAAGCATTTTAGATGCTGAAGCAAGACTTCAAGGAGTTCAAGATCATCTTGGGCTGTATAGTGAATTCAAGGTCTGAGAGGAAAAAGAATTGTGTTTGCATTGAGGTTTTAATTTTATGTTATATAATAGTCTGATTTTTACTTTGTTGACAGAGTTTAAAAAGTAGAGTCTGTATAGGATAGTTTATTGATGTAAAAAAAAATTACCAGTTACTAGTGTTGTAACCAGGAGGACTTAGTTGGATGAAATTTGAAACCACATCTCCTCTTGTATTGCTTAAGAAAACCATAGGAGCCAAAGCTGCAGTTCACAAAGTACCACTCACTTGCTTCTGTCCCATTCTTCTAAGTTGCCTAGCCACAACTTTTATTAAAGCCACCCCATTCTTAGTGGTTGCAAGGGTCATGACCAGTAAATTGGCATCTTTTGGCCAAAGCTACGCTGCTACTGTTTCTGTCAGCAACATTGTCAAGCAGAGAGGAATCCTTGAAGAGCTCTCCTCCTTTCTTTTCGTCCCACATATTGGAAAGAGAGTAGAAAGTGAAGCCTTTTTCTGTTGTTGACTTTCATCTTCAAACATCATTATGGGGGCATCTCAAAATTGTCATTTGATGGGCTTTTCGTTACGTTCATTTCTATGCCCTAAGCAGGGTTTGTATGGCCCAGAATAGGTTAATGCTTTGTGCACTGTATCATGTATAACAAAACAACATTACTTGAACAGTGTTAAATTCTACACATGTGTTATTTCAAATTGCCTAATTGTATTTTATCCTTAAAAATAATTTTGGTAGCCTTGCTGTTTCAAGGACAGGGTTATGGTGATTTGTCAAAGAGCTATTTAGTTGTTTTAAACAAATTAAAATGTTTGTTTCCTCACACAGATTTGAATTCTGTGAACCCGCATTTGTGGTGGGTAACTGCCTTCAGATAGCTTCTGACAGTCATCAGTATGATCGAATTTACTGTGGAGCCGGAGTGCAGAAAGACCACGAAAACTACATGAAGATCTTGCTCAAAGTTGGGGGAATACTGGTCATGCCTATAGAGGATCAGGTACCGTCTGTGTCCTGCATTCGTCATAAGAGACCACACAGTTGTGAGATTCAGAATTACCATTTTATTACAGGGAAGCTAATCTTTGAAGCAGAAAAAAGTTTTTATAGATCTACATATGTGCACAGAAAAAAACTTGAAAGAGATCTGTAATTGGTTCAAAGGGAAGCAGATGTAGAGAGGAAGTGTAACTGGGAGACTAGAGCCCACTTGACTAGTCAGCTCACCCAGGAAGTCAGCTAGCTGCCCCTGGGTTCATCATCTGGAAAGTAATTAGTTGAGTGCATGGGCTCTACCTGTAGCTTGTTAAGTCTGCTTTGTGACTGGCTTCAATTGCTTAACTTCATAAATAAAACAAGAGGCTATAAAATAAATCGCCATTGAGGGGTTGGAAAGATGGCTCAGTAGACGAGAGTGCTAAAGATTACTAGACGTGTTTCTAGAAGGACCAGGGATGTGATTGAGTCATAGAGGACTTGCCTCTTAGTTGAGACTGTGAGTTCCATCTCTAGCAACACACACACACACACACACACACACACACACACACACACGTTATCTTCTCATTGGCAATTATTCTTTTAAGACGTTGACATTAAGGTAACCACATTGCTTCTTTCTCATTTTACTCCAAATAGTTAACTCAGATTATGCGGACTGGACAAAACACCTGGGAGAGTAAAAATATCCTTGCGGTTTCCTTTGCACCACTAGTACAGCCTAGTAAGAATGATAACGGCACGCCGGATTCTGTGGGGCTCCGTAAGTAGATCCTTGAACTCAAAGAATGCTGGTCCCTGGTATTTCACTCACTGTTTGGACTTAGTGGATCATGTAACTGTAATGAGCACCGCAATGAGAGGATTGATTCTTCTGTGGCTTCATTTCTGGAAACAAGAAAGATCATACCGACTGTGAGCTTACTAGTTTGTGATAGGCAGTAACTGGTTGTGGAACAGCATCTGGTCTAAGGGTGGTGGGAAGAAAGGTTTGTCTGCTGAGGCAAGATTTGAATTGTGATTGGAATGTAGTCAAAAAACCTATTTGGTCAAAATTTTGTGGTAGCATCTTTTGTTTTACTTGTTTTTTGAGTTATCAGCTGACTTAATGATTTTTGTGTCAGCTTGATTACCAAGCAGGATCAGTGAGAGAAGAGCTTAGATTTTCGTAGTTCTGTTAGACTTGTAACTGCCACCCAGTTAGAGGAGGCATGCATGCACATGGGTGAGCAGAACCTAGCTATTGTGTTTGAGTTTTATGGCAGCATCAGAGATGTAGGTGGCCAGCAGTTAGTTTGTTTGTTTTACACACTCGAACTATTCCCACCTGAAAATTAAGAGAGAAGATACAGAGAAGGTGCAGAGACCTGTGGGACTGTGATGTCACACTCTGGAGGTGTCAGTGGCTTGAAGGTTTCTTCACCTGGATCCTAAAGAGTGCTTGGGAGATGTGGTGACTACTTTTAAGGATTTATAAATTTTTTCCATTTTGACTCCTGTGTATTTATTTTTATCTCATTTAGAAAGAGATTAAACTCTCGGTTATAAAATTTTTCATAATTTAGAAACTATTCTTAACAAGCTTTTTAAAAATGTGTTTATTGACTTTATACTTTTGATAATAACACAGTATAGGAAGCAAGCCATATTCAGGACATCTACATACAAGAGGAAAACTAAAAATAAGAATGGGTTAAAAACAGAGGGACAAAATTTGAAGTTAATGGGCTGCAGCATTCACATCCTTTCAGACTACTTAAAACAAGACTGTGGTGTCTAGCACCACAATCAAATGAGTGTCCTTTAACCTGTTTTATGACTGAAGTCTGCATACCCATGCCATTCTGTACTAACTGAACTTACCTAAATTACTAGCTAGCAAGAAATAACAACATAGAGTTATTTTCCCTCCCATTTTAAAATACAGAATTGTGGTTATTTTTACTCTTTAGTTATCATCACCCATTGGGAAGTAATAAAGAGCTCTGTGGTCCACGCTGTCTGTGGGCATGTCCTTAAGCATGTGCAACAGGCGCTTTGTGTGCAAGCACACTTCTTTCTGTTAGGCTCTGCAGTTGCACAGTAGCCGTGGAAGTGCTTTACTCACGAAAGCATCATAGTGGCAGCAATAGCTATTTTCTTTTATCTGACACTTATTTTAGGTTAACTTGTGTGAGTCTTAGCTGTAAATATGCTTGCACGCTAGTGAAACTGATGATTGACGTGGATGGTGTACTTCAGGGTATCTGCCTCCATCCCCTACTCAGAAATAGAAAAGACAAATAAGGTAGTTGGATATTTGGTTGAAAAATACACACACACACACACACACACACACACACACACACGCACACACACACTGTCAGAGGCTAGCAAGAAGGCTCAGTGGCTATAGGTCTTTGCAAAGCAAGCCTAATGTCCTGAATTTGATCTTAAGAACCCACAGAGGAGAAGACCAATTCCCAAAAGCTGTCCTCTGATCTCCATATGTGTGCTGTACATCATACGCAGGAAGACACACAAACAGACAGATATTTAATGAAATAGGATCAATTGAAATATAGAGGCCCAAATTAAAACAATTTATCTTCCCCTGAAATACATTTTCAATAGAAATAGCTTTGGTAAGGATGTTAAAGGGAGGAGGGTTGATGAAATTGTATTGGCATGAAGAGATGGTTGTTAATTTCAGGGTCAGGGCACAGTTTTGTTATTATTCTTTCTGTATGTAAACAGGAGTCTCCAAAAACAGGTTGAAAATTCTGAGTGTTAGCCCCGAACTCAAAATTTGTATAATAATCACACAGTGAAAAGTTTTAAAAATTGCTATTTACTAAAATTCCATGAAAGAATGGGGAATAAGAAGCCGGGCAGTGGTGGCACACGCCTTTAATCCCAGCACTCGGGAGGCAGAGGCAGGCGGATCTCTGTGAGTTCGAGACCAACCTGGTCTACAGAGCTAGTTCCAGGACAGGCTCCAAAACCACAGAGAAACCCTGTCTCGAAAAAAAAAAAAAAGAATGGGGAATAAGAACAAGTGTCTGTTTCTGCTAAAATAAGTCACAGTATCTCTTTGTTCATAGAACATTATCCTATAATTACAGGGTATTAGAATAGACTAGAACACTGGCCGCAAAATTCCCTAAAAACAGTACACATGTAAACCCCGTATCAGATGACTGTGTTAACATTAAAACTGTTCATAGTCAATAGTTGACTAAAATGAAGTTACAATTTTTCTTCGGATTTACCACAATTTTTATTTGACTTCAATTTTTTCTATGACTTTATATTTATGTGGTTTATATGCATGTGAAACCATAAAAATATTATTTAAAATTTCAAAAGTAAGGGTATATTGTTTTAGTTCAGGCAGGGCCGAAACTACATAATAAATTATACAATTTTATCTTTGTTTTCTCTGAAATTTTATTTAATATTTGAAATTAGTTTTTTTTAATAAATGACTTTTCTTGATCTTTCCCTTTTTGTTGTTGTAATTGTGTATTTTTATGAAGCAGGGTGTCACTCTGTAGCTCTGGCTATAAAGACATAGTTTTTTTTTAATGTTTATTTTTTGTTTATGTTATGAGCATACGCATGTGGGGATGATGTGTCTATGCACACACATGCAGAGGCCAGAGGAAGTCCCAGCAACCCACTTGTCTCCTGTACTTGCTGATATTGCTCCTGAAATGACCTTTGACAGCGGTGGCTATCTCAGATTCAATACAAGGAAACGCACTTGAGTTTCCTCTTGTTCTCTTCTCTGGGTCCACTGTTTATATCTGACACTGGCACCTGTCCAGAAAGTCAGCCTGGACACTGGATGCTTTAGTGATACTTTTGCTTTGAGTCCCATGGCCACTTTGTTTCTGTTCTCTGTTATACATCAATATTCTGTCTGTCTCTCTCTTCTGTCCAGCCCCTTCCTGTCAGTGTCCATAGCACATGTGATCACCCGAGAGTTCATTCAGCTGACCTGCTGTTGCCAACACAACCTACACAGTATTTAGTCCTTGAGCACGTGAAGCCCTTTCAGTTCCTAATGCCTTGCTCTTCTCTCTGCCCAGATCATTTTCATGCCTGCTAGGTGACTGTGCTCCTTTAGACTCTGGCAGAGCCATTCCCTCAGGGAGCCTTCGCCCCTAGCTACTGGAAAGCTACTGAGCATCTAACCAAGAACTTCCTGTTACTCCTGTTACATGATTGCTGTTTTGTTTTCTTCATTTCCCCTGTTTTTATCCTTCTTTTGTTCCCTTTTATCCCTTCTGCATCTTTTTACCCTATCCCTTCCACGAATGTGAGCTACCAACATCCAGGGACTTTTCTAGTTTAAACCGGCCGTGTATCAAAATGCATTCTTATGTGGCTGACCTATTGTTTAACAAGTAGTTTGTTCAATAATTTGTTAAACAATTTTGTATCAAAGGCACACTTGGTATTTTGTACAGTTGAGTTTATGGTCCTTCTTCCTCCTTTTTGTGGCACATTTGATATAAGTAAACATTAGTGTCTTAGAACAGTGCCTTTGCATTGGGGGGGTCTGTGTTAATCCGCAGCTGGTACAGGAGGGTTCTTTGCCGTGAACTAGTGTGTGTGTTTGCTTACTTTCTCTCTCCCACCTTACACACATACACACACATGTCCGTATGTGAGCACTCTCCAGAGTTCAGGCAGATATTGAAATGTTGCTTTGAGTTTTTCTGTATTTGTCTTCATATGATTTATTCACTTTCTTAAGAAAAAAATTACATTTACTTTTAATTTATTTATATGACTGTTTTGTCTGCAAGTATACTGTACAACATATGCATGCCTGATCCCTCAGAGGCCCGAAGAGGGTGTCGGATCCTTTGGAATTGGAGTTATGAATGGGGTTGTGATCAGCCCCCTCCATATGACAAAGAAACATAAAAACAGTATAATATAATATGCAGGGTAAAATTTCTTATGTACTTATCACCTTATCCTTACCCTTTTTCTAAATTATTACTTATTACTCCCAAGACTGCATGCATATAGATAGAAACATGGATGTTCGCCTCATTTTTGCAAGCTGCCTGCTCTGCTCAGTGTGCATTTAGTCATTGTGTACTAAGCACTCTCAGTGTAGATTCTTGTAGTTTGACGTTTTCTGAAGATTGTGAGGAAATGAACAATGTATAATGCTTTCATTTTTGTGCTTGATTTTAGCCCCATGTGCTGTCAGGAATCTCCAAGACTTGGCTCGTATTTACATTCGACGCACACTTAGAAACTTCATCAATGATGAGATGCAGGCCAAGGGAATCCCACAAAGGGCTCCACCCAAGAGGAAAAGAAAGAGAGTTAAACAGAGAATTAACACTTATGTGTTTGTGGGTAATCAGCTTATTCCTCAGCCTCTAGACAGCGAAGAGGATGAAAAAATGGAAGAAGACAGCAAAGACGAAGAAGAGAAAGATCCCAGTGAAGCTGTGAAGCATGAGGAGCCACCTCAGAACTGAAGGAAAAGATCCTGAAGCTGCCACTCCCCAAGTCTTTAACAGCTTTCTTGACATACTTTAGAAACAACTTAAAACAAGAAGGAATGCCTACTGACAATTTCCTTACTCTTGTAAATGTAGTGTTTATTCAGAGCTAGAGAATTACTTCATTAGAAAGAATTATTGCATCAGAAAATAGCTTAAAGCTATTTCTCTTAATGACAGAAATGATGTATTCAGTGATTTCAAAGAATCTCTTTCTTAAAATCTTTTTTTTTCTTAAATCTTGAGCAAATGTTGTTTTAGCTCAGTGACCTCAAAGTGAAATGATTCAATAATTAAGACTTTGTGTACAGTAATCCCAACTGGTTCTTCACAGATTTGTAGAGTTAGGGTTCAGATTTCATTCTGAAAGAGGTTGATATACTGTCACACATATATAGGCTTATTCCAATTGCAGACGCATTTCCTTTGTGAGAGCTTGTTTATCAAATAAGGACACCAAATGCTTGTAGACATATTCTGGGCAACATATAAGTGCAATAATAATTCAAGATATTAAATAATTTAGCTTTAAAACTATAGACTTCATAAAATTTTAAAGGCCTAAAACTTTTCTTTCGATTCAANTTCTGATTCTATTGCCAAAAGATACAGGGAAAATTCCTGCTTCTCTCATAGAGATTTTAAGAGCACAGCAAGTGAATATTAAAGTAGGAGACGGCTACTTAACACAACTAGTTTGTGTAGGCCATTGTGTTTTCAGTATTTAAAGATAATGGGGTCATCTTAACGCTAGAATTTTAAAGATAGTATATTTAGGATTGCTTTTCTGTAATTATGAAGTATTAGATTCGAAAAGACATTCATTGCCCCGTTTGCCTCTGAATGTAGACAGGGAGTCATTTTCAGTTCCCCTCACTTACTACGTACCTCACGTAGCAGGGGAATGATGTGGTCTGCCGAGGCACTGTACGGGACTTTCAGTTACATGGTATTTGTCTTTGACGAGGTAGGCCTCGCCTCATCTGTTTTGAATCTTTGTAGTATAAACAGTCATGGAAGTTGTATGTAGATGCCTTTGTATTAAAATTTGGTTCAGAATCAATGGGATCTCTGGGATCCACACCAAACTCATTTCTTCCGTTCTCTGTTTCATTACTTTGGTAAAATGACAGTAGTTTTTATTTTTTGCTTAATGTTACATTCTTAACCTATGATGGGTGTCAGCGCTACAACAGGCAGTGCATGTTGTTACCAGTTTTTTCCTCGTAAGGCTTGCACACAGCTCTTTGCTAAGATGTAAGATGTGAGCTTCTTACTTCTTTGCATCACACGGATTATATGTTTTTAATGGGAAGATTTCAAGGGTCTCACTTATTCTCACACCACTGTCAGAACAGCTACTCAGATTTGCCTAAGGAAATACAATCATGATGATTCAAATAGCTTTAAATGACTCAGCCCCAGTAATTCTGCATACACTAATCATTTAAAATAGTTTTGACTCAAATAATTCATACCGTTTTAGTAATGTGAGAGACAGTGTTATGGAAAGGGCTCGTTTGACTTTTGTTGGAATGGGCATGTCCAGTTTTTCTTAACATAATTAGCAAACTATTATTGAGAAATGCCCTATCTTGTTTCTGTCCAAAAAAAGGAAAAAGTCATCCCCCTCTTCCCTGAAGTGGTACTGGGGATTAATCCCAGCCTGCTGTGACTGCGATTTACCCTCAGAGCCAACAAACTGTTACATTTAAAATTCTGGTTTAGAATTTTAATCTTCAATTCCTGATACCCATGTAGTTTTATTTGTCCCTCACATCTCTCTTGGTTTTTCTTGGCGCTGATGTACAGATATCCGAAAATCCATGTTCTTCAATGATATTATTTAGGAGAGTGTTATAAGTGATATATTTGAAGTTGGCTGTTCTTATACTATCTTCTGTTAACTTTGATGAGTTGTACAGTAAATTGGATCATTGCATTTTTTGTCTTTGAAATGTATATTTTGTCCATGTAGATTCTTTATTTTTCAGGTGTGACTTTATGGTTGGCTTTTAAAGGTAGGAATCAATGAAAATTTAAGGAAAGCAGTCTTACCTACTGATCTAAGTGCATTAGGTTGAGAATATTTGGTTTCGTGCTTATTTTTAATGAAGTCATGTTTGTTTGGGTGTGGAAAGTTATGCTTTATAGGTAAAGAAGTAGCAAATACAGATGAAATAAACTGAAAAGAACGAAAAATGCAAGTGATAGTAAAGCATTTGTGATGGCTCCCACCTGGAACAGCACTGGAGGCCAAAGCAAGAGGAATACTTGAGGCTTGAGACCACCGGGGGTTACATAACAAGACCAGGCTTTGTTCTTCAAAGAAGAGAAACAAAAGAGAATATATAAAAATCATGGGCCATAGTCTCATGGACTTACCTACAGACAGAAATTTGCATTTACATTTTGAAGGCAATAAAGATGCCTTGAAGGGAGGAATGTGCTGCTTAAGTCTTACAGCAGGTTGGAGACAGGACCTGAAGGAACAGCCACCATCACCAAAATCCCAAGAATCCAGAAATGAGACCATGCATACCAAGGACCTAATTGAAATCTGTATTATCCATTGGTCAACGTATTGAAATCTGGTATTAATAAAATGTCAAAATAGCATACATGGTTAAAATAAAATACAAAGGTTTGTTGATTGTTTGAGGTGGAAGTAAAAGAAAGCCTGCTAAATCATTGGGCATATTGGGAAATCATTTTAAATAAACAGATCACATCATTACACAGCATTATCCAGCGGCCTGTCTTTTATTTTTTCTCTTTATTTTGAGTTCAAAAAATTACTGTGCATGTAGATGTTTTACCACAGTTTTCAGGAAATACATTCTGACTATTGACTTAGTGTAACACTCAGTTCCTGACTAAACACCCCAATTAAAGAAGTGGGCATTGAGGAAATCAGAAAGGGATTTATTCAGTGTGACCTCACAGACAAAAAGAACACAGTGGTCTAGTGGCAGTGGCCCCACACCTGTCTTGTCTTAATGTATCAACATGAGCTTTGGGTTGAGAAGAATTCAGTCAAGGAGCATGGGTAGGCATAACTGGACAGTCCTGGATAAAGTGTGGCCCTAGAAGGTGGTCCAAAGAAGTCATTCAAAGGGGATTACTTTGGCAGTTATGACCTCGCCTATTAACAGAAGTTTCTATCCCATCTGGTTCCACTGCCATTCAGTTCCAAAGAAGCACCCAGAGGCCTACATTAATTATAAACTGGTTGGCCTAGTATCTCAATCTACTTATTAACTTACTCTTACATCTTAAATTAACTCATAGTTCTTGTTTGTGTTAGCCCATGGCTTGGTACCTTTTTTCAAGGAGGCATTCTCATCTTGCTTCCTCTGGGTCTGGGTGACAAGTGCAAACTGAACCTTTCCTCTTCCCAAAATTCTAGTCTGCTTGCTCCACCTGTATTTTCTGCCAGGCTACTGGCCAATCAGCATTTTTACTAAACCAGTATAAGTCACAAATATTTACAGGGTATAAGACCATTGTCCCACAGTACTCTCCGCCCCCCATTTTTTCTTTTCAAAACAAGAACTATAATCTTTTGTTTAGCTTTTTCCTGACCATTATCCATAACAACTTGTAACCAACACTCGAAACAAAGACATACATTCATAATCCTTTTTTTTTTTTTTTTTTTTGGAATGTAAGTGTAGTTTTCTAGGCTACTTCCTGCTGATTGGATCACTGATAATCTTATAGGGACCTAAAGAAAATGTGGGATTATAATTTAGAG